AGCAACTTTACTGGCTGTTTTGCAGAAATGCTCTACATCTAAAACCAGACTCTTAGGAACATGCCCTTCTACTCACAGAAATGTACCCTGATGCATCTGGAAGAAGTTTTCCCTTCTGTGCTCAATTTTTACACCAAGAAAAATGCAAAAAACCAGACTCTTAGAAACATGCCCTTCTACTCACAGAAATGTACCCTGATGCATCTGGAAGTTTTCCCTTCTGTGGTGAATTTTTATACCAAGAAAAGTGGCAAGCAGCAGCCTATCAGTAGCTGAAGGCAATGACCCCTTAGAGGCCATAAAAATACCACAGGGGACTACAAAGTACCAGGTGAAGGGCTGGGCTGATGAGCAGTTCAACACCACCAGAATAAAACAGGCTTCACTTGCCATGCTCCCAGTCCTGTTCTAACTCCAATGGAGCACTGGACACTTCACTGAACCAGATGACTTCACTAACCTACAGGAAGCCAATGCCTTTTTTGCTTCATGTGTTGAACTGGTCTGTACAAGGCCCAAAGAGCTCTAGGGATGGCTAAAGAAACCCCCACTTCAGCATAGCAAGCTTTGAGATTACCTTCTGCTGCTTCATTGGTTTCACCTTTAGTCAGTAGCAGCACAATTCTCTTCAGGAAGAAAAGCTATTTTATGACCCTACAGCCAAGCAAGGAACTGTCACTGCAGTCACACATAGCAATCCAACTACTACAGGGCATGGAAGTGAGACAATGGTCAGTACAACTCAGGGTGATCTACCCATTGGTTTCTCTGCCCTGCTCCAGCCCATCCTTATTCCATGGCAAGACATAACTCAGCCACTTATCTGGCAAAAATTAAACTTAACCAAAAATCCCCAAGTATTTTACTAGTTAATTGGGCTAAAACGGTTTGGTGCATGGTGAGCCAACCACCACAACTAGCATAGGTGAGATGAAGGGCAGAAGCATGTGGCAATTGCTCAGCAGCTACTAACTGAATCAGCTTGCAGAAGAACCAAAGATCAGAGTTTCAGAAGATGGAATAAAATGACAATACTGGTTATGTTTGGTGCAGAGAGGTCATGCTTCCCTTTTCCAATCCAACACCTGTGCATATCCACTGTTTACTTCAGAAGAACTCTGGTCCTCACTAGAACTGCTATGAGCCAACTCAACTCACTAAACAGGCAGGAAACTACCCCTGCAAAGCACAGGGTAACTGCATACTGTTCTCATTAGTGAAAACAGGTTGTAATCAGGTCAAATAACCACCAAAGCTGGCGCAAGTAAGGAGCAGGGCCATTGCAACTAGGCCCAGAGTGAGGGCACAAGGCCTTCCCTTTCCCACAGCAGTCAGCTGCTGCAGTAGTTCACTTGCCCACAGAACAACAGCCTTGTCACTTGGCTCTCATGACAGCTCCACCACTGATTTACCACGTAACTCTTGCAAAACATTTAACTATTTTATTACTAAATCAAATTCTAGCAAGGATAATACTGATTTTCCCTACCTGGACTAGTTAGTTTTGAATAAAAGCTACATTAACCTCAGACTATGGTGAGATTACTAGGTTCATAATACCTCCTCAAACACATTCTTCCTGAAATCCAGATCCTCTTGCAAGCTCTGGCACCGATTCTCCAGGTCCACACGCATGAGAGTCTCCTTCTCCAACTGCTTCTTAGCCACAGCATGACCATCTTCAGCCTAGTAAAGAATTTTAAAGATAAAGATTTAATTTTGCCTAGATCCCCATTTTCCATCCATAATCCCTTTAGGATCTTCACTTGACATCTTTGGACTGATCAGTCACAACAAGAAATCTAATGTCAAGCCACTGATATTCCAGAAAGAAACAACAAAAAAGAAAATGAGTGTGTGCTTATGAATATTTAAAACAAGCCTTCATATTTGTAGACCAGTTATTTAAAGTGTAGGATTATTTCAATACAGTATGATAATGGAGTATAGGATTATTACGTCCTTGAGCCCAATAAGTAGCATGCTTTTCTTGCTAGCGTAGTCCCACTGGGTACTTTAGCATAAGTTTAAAATTATAATCTGATATCTCATTAATACAGAAACACCAGAAATTAAAAAATAAAAGCTTCTGACTAGCAACATTTCTAAAACACCATGTTGTTTTTGTTGTTTTACAGAGATTTTTTACGATTTAGTTTTCTGTCCAAGAGGTGGAGGCAAAGGTTCAGTAAGTGAGCTGGATCAATGTTCAGACTATAAACTAACTGAAAAAAACAAAAAACAAAAAACCAACCAATTTTACAACACACAGCCTCTCCTGTGCTAAAGCAAGGAAGCACTCGCTGCCGTACCTTAGCAAGTTGGGCACGCAAATCGGCCACCTCTGCTTCCAGACTGCGTTTCTCATTCAGGACAGTATTGAGTTCTGCTTCACTTCTATGGAACAGCACTTCGAGATCCTTAATGCGACCCTGAGCCACAGACAAGTCTGCATCTTTCTTCTTGTAGCTGAAAAAAACCCAACAGTTAATTGTATTTATACACGGGTGCGCACACACATTGAGCATGTCTTGGTTACAAGTACAGATATTTTGTTATTGTATGCATTTATTAGGGATTAGCTACCACTGGGTGACTCCTCGAGTAACCTGCGAATGCAGCTAATAAAAATAACCATGAACATCTCCTAAAACTCACATCTTGTACCAATGTGTTGTAAATGCATTGCCTAATAAAGAACATATGTGATAGGCAGGCAAGGGAAAAACAAGAAGGCAACTCTGACAGCTAAAGGTCGACAAAGCTGCTTTACACACAAGGTGTACTTTTTCACCTCGCTGCTGCACAGCACATTTAATTGCTGACATCTATCACTCTGGACTACAGCTCCTAAGATGCAGAGCACATGCATCCCCAAAGAGGCCCATGAGCATTCCCCGTGTTCCATACTTGAGGTGGCCAAGCCCATTTCGTAGGATGAATTCCCACACAAAGTAATAAAGTAGTCCACTATGAAAATGTGGTCACCTTTCAAGAGTAAACCAATACTTCTTCAGCAGCATTCATGATGAGCAAAGCAACTCAGGTAACTTTATATGTTATTATTAGCACAATTATTTGAGCTGTTATATCCAACTCACAGAAAACATCAAGGTCATCTTCATCCTGCCCATCAAGTGTTTGCTTACCTTCTCCTCTAACATCCTGACTTTCTGCAGCTTCTCTAGGTGTGTCATTCATTATGTTTTGTTACATGAAGTAAGCTTGCTATTCTAGTCTCACACCACAAAGAGTGGAGGGAACAGCTTTTTGTCTTTTTCTCTTAAACCATCTTAGAACTTCTCTTCAATAGAGCCGTAGTTTTCAGTCTGGGGTCAGTAAGCTGCTTTTAAGGGCTCACAGAAGTAACTCTGAAGAGGAATCTTACTACCTGTAGGCTTTAAAAAGCTCTGTACTTGGTCTGCAACTCCAAACATGGAAAAAAACATAACATTTGCAAAGGGAAAAAAAGCTGAAAACTACTACTCTAGATTATACAAACCTTGTGGCCCAGCCCCAATCCTAAATCCTAAAATCCCCAAACTCCTGATTACTTGTACTGTCTGCTTGAATTTCTAATTTGCCCATAACCCTAACAAAACGCAATGCCCAGAATTATTTTACAAAAATTCTGCTTTATGGGGTACTGGTGCGCCCTACAGGCAGTATTTTTTCACATGCTTGAGCAAGATGTACGTCTTTTTCTAACTACACAGTAAATCAACACCCTTATTTTGTGATACTCCGTAGCTATAAGGCTTGTGTTCTCTCTGCACTCCTTGGTGTGATATCTCTTAATTTGTTTTCCTTTAATAGTAACCAATTTTTCTTAATCATTGGTCCAATCTGTCACTGTGAATCCTATTCTGTAACATATGTGCAGTGTCTTCAAGCTCAGCAGCCTGCAGGAGGCATACAGACAAAACATGACTTCACTTAAAAGATGGTTATTTAGCAGCAACCCGAAAGCCTTCAAAACAGACTCTCCAGACACGCATCGCACGAGTCACGTCGTAGAACAAGCCACTGTGCGTGTGCCACGGGCAATCTGATCTGGAAACCTTCTGTCTGTGCCGCACCACTTCACACCGAGCACGAGCAGCAGCGTAGGCTTACACAGCCCAGAGCTTCCTCACACGAGCATTCCCCAGGGAGATGGGAACAAACAGAAGTGTTCAATGCACAGCTCGACAGGGCACCATAAAGAATTCCTGGCAGCGACGAGTAACTTCTGCTCCTTCACGAACACTGATGCTGGAAGACACTCCAAGCTGCTTTCATTCATATTTTTATTTGCATTTGTAATTTCAGCTTGGTTTATTGTCTTCACACAAAAAACTGACGGAGGCTTTACAAAGATGCAACCTGCGTTTAGGGGTCTGGAAGTTGAAGGGCAGTCAATGCATCTGTTGAGATGTGCCCATGTTCTCTGAAGGACACCAGCATAACCCTCTAGAGCTCTTTTTTCCAGAAAGCAGCCAAGGTTGCTCAAGGGGAGTATTTCAGCGACCATGCGGGGTAGCAGGCAGAAGAAGCTACAGCAACAGTCACACAATTTGGAGCTGGGAGCTTGCAGCTCAAGAAGACTACTCGAAAGGAGCAGCTACATGAGGCCTACATATATCTACCCCTAGGCTTTGCTTGACCTGGAGACCTGTGACATTGGTGAAGATATGAAGAGACACTTCATGAACATCAGGATGGGACTTAACCAGGCCAAAGTTACCTCTGCTGTGACTGAATGCACCCTGATCACTACACCAGGTCTGGTTCAGTTTTCCTGTGGGAAGGTGCTGCTCCAAAGCAAAAATGTTGTTCATCTCACTAGTAAATTAAATATTAACATTAAATATACCTCCTACACTCACCTCCTCCCACCCCAAGCTGTCACAGGTTTTGTCAAACAGCTAAAGATGCACACAATCACTGGAAGCTGTTAAATAACATAGGAAAGAACCATACATGCTTCAGAATGGTATAAGAATTTGTTTTTACAAAAGTATTTTAATTCTAGATTTATAAGTATGTCCCTATTCATAATAAAAACATCTTTAAACTTAACAGTTAAGCTGTGCCTTGTGTCATATAAACAGTGTTAGAACATCCTAAAGATATTTCACTTTTTATAAAGCAAAACTGTCCAACTGCTTTATGAACCTAGTAATAAACTTGATTCAATGGAAAAAATACTAACTTCATGAGTTATGTTCTCAAGGTACTAATGGTACAAACACATACGCATTATTCATGTTGTAAAGTACACAGAATCACAGAATGGTCCGGGTTGGAAGGGACCTTCAAGATTATCTTGTTCCAACCCCAACCTCCCGACCTGCCAGCCTCATCTTTGTGTCTGGGAAGATCACGGAACAGACCCTCCCAGAAGCTCTGATAAGGCACATGAGGACAGGGAGTGACACGAGAGCCAGCACGGCTTCACCAAGGGCAAGTCCTGTCTGACCAACCTAGTGACCTTCTACGACGGGGTGACTACACCAGTGGACAAGGGAAGAGCTACGGATGTCATCTGTCTGGACTTCTGTAAGGCCTTTGACATGGTGCCCCACAACATCCTTCTCTCTAAATTGAAGACAGATGGATTTGAAGGCTGGACTGTTCGGTGAAGGAGGAATTGGTTGGATTGTTGCACGTTCTCTCTAAATTGAAGACAGATGGATTTGAATGCTGGACTGTTTGGTGAAGGAGGAATTGGTTGGATTGTTGCACACAGAGGGTAGTGGTCAACGGCTTGATGTCCAGATGGAAATCAGTGACAAGTGGTGTCCCTCAGGGGTGTTTAATGCCTTCATCACTGACACAGACAGTGGGATGTAGCGCACCCTTAGCAAGCCTGTAGACAACACCAAGCTGAGCAGTGTGCTTGACACACAATTGACAGTTCTCAAAAGCACTGAGACAAGCTTGGCCTGTGAGAAGCACCGTTTGACTGTCAGGACAGGCAGGGAGGACTTCAGTCATGAGCTAGGTGTCAAGTGGACACTACAAAGATACTTTAAAAGCTACATTTGCAAAAATCACATTTAAAATCTGGTCACATCACAAGCACACCTTTCCATATGAACCAAGCTCCATGCCCTAAGAATACCCAAAGTGTGTTATGAATGTCTCAAGGGACTGAAAATCTGGTAGAAGAACCTTTCAAGCCAAGGGAGAATTAACTTCTACTCCTATGAACTGCAAGAACACAGAAAACCAGAGAACCAGGTGTATTTTCCTCATATTTAGACTATCGCAGAAAACAAACAAACTTTGAAATTAGTCTGGTAGAATTAACCAGCCATTGAAGTGACTGGTAAGGGGCAACTCAGTTGTCCAAACAAAGGGCAAGGGAGGTGACCCAAGGGAAAAGTAGCATCTCCATCACTTTAAACACACAACATTCTACAACAAGATACTTGTAAAATCTCTTAGTGCTATCAAAAGCCTAAAGAACTGAAATCAATTGGCAGTGATTCTCTTCAGCTGCCAGGTGAAGATACTCCTGACAAGGATACCTTAATCAAAATACAGAAATAAGCATCTTGCAGAACAGGAGAGATGAACTGAATTTCAAGTTACTGAGGCTGCTCTCTTTTGGAGTTTGCTTTAGCAAATACTCCACTTGCTTGGCATCTATCACTGAGACAAGAGACAGCCTCGATGGCCATGCAATGCGGACTGCCATGCAAAATGTATTCTCTGAAATAAATGCCAAGACTGCTGGCCTAAGGCTTCCAAGAGGGAAATCAGTCCCCACAGGAACATCGCAGTAGCGCTGGGTGGTGTTCACCTCACTTAATTTGAGGGGTTTACATCTGACCTAGTTACCACAGGGGTTTTTTTATGGTTAACAGAGGCCTAGCAAACTAAGTCCATAAATTTTAGCAAACAGGTTGTCTGATCATATGCAGGCGTATCTTCTGGTATGGACTGTGCACCCAGTTCAATAGGCTTTGCAGTGACTTACTCAAATAGAGCTGCTTACACTACAGTATATCATAATTCTACAGCTATTTTAGGGGCAAAGTCCACAAAATCTCTCTGATGGCTGACCTTAATGAGAGGGCTCAGCACAGAAAATGAAAATTCAGTCATACAGCAAACTTCACAGAGAAAACAAGAAATACTTCATCGTAAATCAACTCACTACCCAAAAAAAAAAAAACAAGGGAAGGAAACACTTCATTCTTTTTATGACCACTAAGATGCAAATGAAGGGACATGGAAGATTTCCAATAAGCCTCTACTGGCACTGCTGGATTAAAAGCAATTTTATGGCCAACTATGTTCATGTACAGATGATGTACCTATTTACATGCTCAGGAAAAATCTGTAACTCCCAAATCTTATCTACTAAAATAGGTACCAAAATTCAATCAGAAGCAAAAAAAATAATTAATATTAATGTATGTGGTGGCAAAATTAAGTTTCAACTGCTAAACAGTATGATTAAAAAGAACTCCCTAGTGGGAATAGAAATAATGGATTCCATTTGGCTTCAGTAGCCAGTTTATTAGGCTAATTTGATGCAGACTGAACAGCAGTTTTTTAAAATGTAATGTACAGGCCTTTTTCCAGCACATTTACATTGTGGCTCCATGTGTTTTCAAGGCAACGCTGCTTCCATGTTCCCAAATTGCTCAGGGCCAGCCTTTTCCCCTCATTTCTTCCATCAGTCAACACAGTGAACCAGACAATAAAAGTGACAATATCTTAAAAAATCAACCTTCCTTGGATGGGCCAATTTTAATTCAGAGCAGTTTCTCAACCCAGTTCGCCAAGCAGCTGCACATGTGCATGCTCACATTAAGGAGACGAACAACAGGACAGAAGTGGCCACAGACAATTGTTTCAGCCTTGAGATGTCCAAATTGCTCAAATCACAGTATATTAATTTTATAACTACAGATATATTGGTGTATATACTGGTCAGATTATCTGCTCTGACTAGCTGTACCAACAAGCTGAGGAATTTCCCTCTGGCAAGCCTGTGTCTTCTCATTGACCTGCAATGCATCCAAAAGGCATTTTAAGGAGTATCAGAAAGTACTACTCCCACTGCAAATATTACCTATTTTAATTAAAAATAGGTAAAAAATTTTTAATTAAAAATAGGTTAAAACCCCAAACATATCATGCAAGACTTTCCTTACCTTTTATTGAACTCCTCAAGTTCCGCTCTCAGTTTCCCTATTTCGATCTGTAATCTAGCCCTCTCTTTGGCCGTTTCATCCAGAGCTCTTCGAGCATCTGCCAGTTCAGACTCATAGAGACTCTTGATTCCACTCACCTAAGGGGAAAAAAGGATTTAGATATGAGAACATTCCAAAGACTATCAAAGAACTGAAACACAGCATCACAGCTTTCTTTGAAAAAAGGGTGTATTACATGATTTCTGTTAAGAATAATCTATAGTGAAGATTTTTAATTAATATGCACCTACAATTAGATGGGATCTAGTCCCAAAGACAAGACTTAATTTTTATTCCCAGTGGGACATAAAACATGCTGTTTGAAGCGTGCAGATCATCCAAAGAGATAAACTGAAGCAGATCAGTACAACCCTTCAATCATATCTTAAATTATTTGCTCTTATTTCCCATGCTGCTGCTCTGGGAGATTTTTTTTAATCACTTGAAGACTTATTTTGCGCAATACAGGTCCAACGCCCGATTTTACTCTGCTGCTCTTCTACTACAAAGCTAAACATGAATATGAAACTAAGTGAACTACTGAAATGTGAACTGTTCAGAGATGAGCTTCCACTCCTGCTCTCCATCTCAGCGGATAAGGATCTACAGATCTCTCCCCAACCCAACTCCATATATTACACAATCAGCTGTTCAGATTGCAGCAAAGCACTTCAAAGTCTCCCACATCTTTCTTTTTTTGAGAATGCAAGATTATTTGAAAGGTGTATCAGATAGCTGAAGTGTCAAGACAGTATAAGATTACTTCTATGAAAGGATACCAGAACAACTGTTAATAACGTAAATTCAGAAACGGAGCAACTGGGGGAATGAGAAGAGCCAAAAGCAGAATGTGCCAACTTTAGGAAGAGAAATTTCATAACAAAAGCATAAAATGTAGAAATAAGAAAGCAAACTGCTATTCCTAGGAGTGCCTATTTCAACATCAGAGTGGCACCAATGACAGACTCAACCATCTGGTCTTCAAAAAGACTGATTACAAGCAGTCAGGATATAATTAAGTTCCAGATAGACGATATTCTCATAAAACTTCTGAAATTAACTGAAATATAACAGCATGAGGGCTGAGAAGCCTTAGTTTACAAGCATACCACATATCAGAAACTACTTGGCTGTCTATGCAATATTACTTCTTTTCTTTAAATAATTAATTACTTCAAGCTTCATTCAACTTAGGTTTTGAGTCTGGGGTTTTGTGTGATTTTTCTGTTGTTGGTTTGGTTTTTCCTCCCCCTCAAGAGGTGATAGTCAAAGGCTGCCTATGGCACAAGCCAACATAACCCTATCAGTTACAAAATTTAGCAAGTTCTACAAAGAAATGTACCGTAAGTATGCTGAACTCTTTCATACAGCACTCCACAGCACCAAGGAAAGGAGGAGAGGAAAAAAAAAAATATGAGATTTTAAGGCTGTAATGCATTTCATTATCATAGAATCACAAATCATAGATCATTATGGATGATCCTTGAGTGAAAATGCAGTATTTGCAAATTGCAATACAACACACAATTGTGCACAGGTCAAGCACTGATTATGCACCAGCAGGTACTGCATCTCCAACACTCCTCTAATGCTGGCCCTTTCTTAGACCTTCAACTCTTATATGTGCTAAAATCCGTGCCCTAGGACATCTACAGGGAACTTGGGGTTCTATTGCTGTAGGTTCAGAGACACACTAAATCACAGTGCAGGACACAAGGACAAATCCCTTCCCAGTACTCCAGGGCATAAACTGGAATTGCATGTCGAGGCCCAAAGGAAGAAAGCCATCTTCCCTAGGTTTTTGTGAATACCATCACAAAAAGGTGTTGCTGCTGTGATACTTAAAATAGGCAGTAAAGTTCTCTTTTGAGGCATTACAGACAATACAGAGCTTAACACCACCAAAACAACAGTATTCTGAACAGTGAATAAACACTTAATGCAATTCCTGTTTAGAGAGAATATAGCTAGATGGAGCTGAAAATTGCATGATGAAAGCTGTTTTGGAACCTGTTGGTCAGAAGAGAACAAAGCTGTGGTTAATTAGAAAGGACTGATTAATTCATGGCACAACCAGTCGTGGTAGCTTAGTATGTATTTTTCTCCTGCAGCATGTTAACCTCTTCTCTGCTCTTTTGCCACTGTTAACCAGTCCTTTCTAACTAAGAAATTTTAGATTATCAAACTGAATCAGAGGACAGTTCAAGATGGTCTTTCTAGATCATAAAATAGAACTTGTTTATTTTCAGCACTGGTCAAGTGGAGGAGAGAGAACCAAGCAGAGCAGCAGGCTCAAGGGAAGTCAGCAGTGCCAGCTCAGCTGAACTAGCCTGGAGTAACACACCTGACAACAGCCCCAGCCCAAGAGGTTATAGTCACTGACAGCAGCCTTCACCCCAGAAATTCTGCATTTCTGTTTCCTGAAACTGTCACCCCTCAAACTCTGCTCTGCTGGAAGGAACTTAAGAGTCTCCTGACTCTCTGAAAATCTCCAGAGAAGTACAGTCCCAAAAGTGCCTCTGTTTAAACTACACATGATCTTGCCTTTTTTTTTTTTTTTAACTCCACAGACACTCTTCTCCCTGCTCCCTTTTTTAATCACTTTACACTTGCTACTCAGTTGGGTTTCTAGTACAGTGACATCTATCAATTCAGATTCCTTCCTTCCCTTGTTGTTTCTCATCTTTTTGCTTGGCTTACCACAACCCATTGTGTCCTGCTCCCCACATCTAAGAGACAAACTCATCCTTGAAGCCTATGCCAGTCCATCCAGTGTAAGCCAGTAAGAGCAGCAGCAGATAGCAAATGCTGAAAGGAAAACGTATAGAGAACAAGGCAAACATAAGACTCTTCTCTTACATACACTCTCAGCTTCTAAAAATTAAAATAAAATACATAAAATTCTGAGCCAAAAATTGCTTCCAGGCACCAAAAACCAGTAGTCACCAAATACTGTTAATTTGCCTAATCCTTTTGTAAATCTCTTTAGCTTTTGGTTTCCACAACATCAGCAAGCATCACACAAGCACAGCTCATGGATTAGGACCTACAGCTTGATAACTTCATTTCATGCCTTTAGTTTTCATGTTGCAAGAAATGCTGAATATTTGCTTCCTAGACAAATCTTTGTTTGGACTCGTGACTTCAAGACCTCAGGTTTCTTCTCATCTTTTCCAGATTTGCTCCTGGTCAGAGATTCTGCTGCTGCTCTGAATTTTTGCTACACTTTCTCCACACTCTGGATGTTTTAAAATAGGTTAAGTGCACTGCAAGTAGCATTCAGAATACAGAAACATTGATTTACACAGTGATTATTGACCAGGAGCTACAACAGAAAACAGGGACATTGCAGGAGACCAAAAAGGCAGGAAACACAGTATTCAACAGGTTTCAGCTAGCTCAAGCTGTAAGCCAGAGCTCTATTTCCATGCACCTGTAGGAAGTGCCATGGAGTGGCTGATCCAGGAAGCCGTAAGAGAAAGCAACTTCACCTGGTTCTCAGGAGCACATAGGAGCAGATTTGCCAAGATACTGTCAAGATCCTCAGCTGACTTCATTTCAGCATCCTTGCAGAAGCAAGAGAAGTCAAAAAACCAAGCCTACAACATTTGCAATTGTTTCAGCATGGCAACTAGGGAACACTGAGGTATTTCTTAAAACAAGCAGTTAAGAATAAAATCTTTCTAGAAACTAAGCTACTGTATAGAGACATCATCATAGGATAAAAAATATCACATCCAAAATATTTTAAATTATATAAACAAGGAGGATACAAGACATAGTAAAGCAGTTTTCAAAAAGCTGAGGTCATGTAGACATGAGAAGAACTTCAGTTAATCGCAATACAACACGGCAAACCAAAGAATGAAGTCTGAAGAACATCTCATGAATGGCGTACAAAGTAATTACTCTTACTACACTGATGAAAAAGGCATACAGGAGAATTCATGGCCCCAAGTCCATTGGTTTAAATAGAACTATGTAAAAAAATGCAATGAAAACAGATCTTTTGGGGGTTTCTTTAACTTATATTTGCACTAGAGGAATCTTTAAGGGATTCTGCACTTAATCAGTTTAAAGTATCATAGAACAGATCAACAAAATGAGCAGTAACAAACTATCACATGTAGAAAGTATGAACAGCTTTCTAAAGCCCCCTTTTTGAACTAAATCAATCAGTATCTTATTTAAGCTCTCATTTAGAGTTCACTTTGTACTTGAGAATTAGAAGATGACTCATGCCATACAAGTTTCCAAACTAGGTAGTTCCTATCACTAAACTCTGTAGTCCATGGCAGCACAGTAGACATCAACCTGAAGAACGGAATTACAGGGCACAAGAGTAAGAGTCACACTAAGAAAGAATCAATATGAGTTGTGTAAAATAAAGAGTTTCACAACCCACTGGACTCTCTCAGTCAACCAGGGAGCAGGTATCCACAACACATCTGGTAAACAAAAAAAAAGTGAAGTAGTGGGTACAGGTATAAGCACAACAGAGTGGAGAACACAGAGTCCCACAGTATGGCTTTTTTTAAATGGAAGCAGTGGGCAAGGGAACAGGCACATGAACAAGGGTTTGAAAAGTCAACAAGCATTCTGAAAAGGGAGAGTGAGCCAAGTCATTCTGCCTGGGACTCCCAAAAAGCTTGAACAACAACCCCCACCAAAGGCTCCTCCTACAGAGGCCACACAGAGACCAAGCAGGCATGAAGAAGAAAAAAAACCACACAAAGACATCACCTTCCAGGAACTGAGGTGAGGCTGACTGGCCTGTAGCTCCCCACATCTTCCTTCTTGCCCCTCCTGAAGATGACATAAGCTTTCTTCCACTCTTCAGGAACCTCTCCTATCTTCATGATCTTTCAAAGATAACTGACACTGGCCTTGCAGTGATGTCAGCCAGTTCCCTCACACTCATGGGTGCAACCCATCAGGTCCCATGGACTTATGTCCAGTTTGTTCAGCTGTCCCTTATTTGGATCCTCTACCAAGAGTAAGTCTTCCTCGCGCCAGACTTTGCCTCCGGTCTCAGGGGCCTGGGATTCCTGAAGACAGGTCTGACCATAAGAAGGCATTGAGTACATCAGCCTTCCTT